TTTTACTTCCAAACGATTTTTTTGTGATTCTTAACTTTGCGACAAAGCGAATGGTTCAAACCTTGACTCCAAAATCTACTCAATCTTTTGATCCCAGTATTTTTCAAAAAAAAATACAAGTGATGTATACGGTGATCATCTTTCAAATAGAGTTCATACAATTATGTAACCTATTATTTTCCTGTATCCTGTGTAACCATTTTATGCTTTATCAATTTCATCAAAATGATATTTTCCTATGTCTTATGTGGTAGAAAAAATCTTTCTTTTCATCGACTGATTGTTTTTCTGGCATTCTTTTTCTGATTTATTGAAAATTCATTTAACGCTTAATTTTTCTAGAAAGCATCAGCAAATTTGTTTATCTTTCAGTCATAGAAGTCACGAATGGCTCTACGGTTCCCTTATTTTTCAGTAGCCAAAAATATGCTATGTTTTTTGTTAGAGAGGCTATCTTTTTTTCTGTGAGATTTATCTTGTTTTCGACAAGCTTTAATCACGTTTACTTACATCTTTATGTCATAGAACTCACGAATGGCTCTACGGGTTCCTTGGTTTTTCTATAGCCAAAAATGTGCTATGTTTTTTGTTGGACAGTCTAAATTTATTTCTGTGAGCTTTATTTTGCCGTCGACTGGCTTTAACTTTGAAACTTTTTCGGACACTTTTGCGACAGGCTTTTTCGAACACTTTTTTACTGTTGCAAATCTATCAAAAGCTTGCAAATTGGTTTGAGTAATAGTTGTCAAAGCATGCTCATTTCAGATGAAAATTTCTTCTTTCTATTAGATCCGAAACAGCTAGAAATTTCATTATTTGATCTATGTTTTCAAAGGATTTCAGATCTCGATTTTCATTTTCTGTATTTTTCGATCTACAATGATCATTAACTCCAAAAATTTTCCTCACAAAAATCTTCCTATGTGGCTGCTTTTGGTGTTTTATTTACGCTTGTGATTAGGAAACGTTATCAAAGCGGAGTATAGACTGCTTTTTCACATGAATATTTTGTTGAACAGAGCACTTGAATCACTTATATTTTGGTTCGAAATGAATTTAATACTTCTATGCGTGCCCGGAACTTAGATTGAAGGTGAAAAATTTGCCTGGAACATTAGAAGTCGTGGGTTTGAATCTGCTCAGCAACTGTGTTCTATTTCAAACTAAAAAAAATTCTTTTCCAAAAAATGCCAGCCTATAGTTCGTCTGCTTATGTTTTGTCGGCTTAGTTGACGCATCGTAGAATTGATTTTTTATACGAAATTTTAAATGTAAGTGCATTCAGTGTTTTGAATTACTCTTGCAGCTTTTAGTTTTACTATCCTTGAATTCGTATATTTTGCAGTTTTTATTTTTTCTTCGATTTAAAACTTTATTCGGCTCAAATCATTTCGACTTTTGTTTTATCGGATTATTGACCTAATTTGGGGTCAATTTAAGGTAAGCATAAGTTTTATGCTTCATTCCGAATTGCGTAAAATGCTAAAATTCTCAGAATAGAATTCGTAGTCAAATTTTTTCATGACATCAATTATATTTTCAGTTCTATGGGAAATTATTTAAGTTTTGTCGGCTCAGTTGCCGATTGTTGATTACTTTTTGAATTTTCCTTAGTTGCCGTCTATTGTGTTTCTGGACGTGTTTTTCGCAAATAAAACATGGCTCCCGACAACTTTTTGAATTTTTTAAGTTGTGTAGTTTTCTTGAATGAGTGGATTTCTTTTCCTGTTAATTTTTGATTTGTATCACAAGTGGTGCGAAGTTGTGTTTTGTTCAATTTGTAAATTGAGGCAAAGAACGGCCGACAATGGTTTCATTTATCTTAACTGCAAAGCAATTTGTCAAAATTTCAAAGCATTTTTTTAAATTAGAAGGGCATAACATAAGATTTTAGTTCACCATTGTTTTCTTTCTTTCTTTCCCCGTCTGCTGGCTTATGCAACGATGTTTTTGGTATTGCAAAAGATGCGAAGCCTCGCTTTGCCTCTGTGTAAAATATCGGTATTTCTTTTTTAACTGATGTTTTTTTGGCTTCATGGTTGTCGATTAAGCTCCGGTTTTGTTTCCGAGTTCTGTATAGCACCTTGCAATCAATACATGTATGGTTGATTTTCAGCTGATTAGCTGTGGGCTTTAATTGTCGGCTTATTTACCTAATAGTTTGTTTCCCTCCGTTTCCTACAGCATTCCGATATTGTTCGTGATATCAATAAAAATTATGCCTCAAGTTTTTTTTCGAATGTTCAGTTTCAACCTCTCTAAAAAGTTTATTAAAAATTTTTATAAACGTTAATGTGAAAAACCTTTTGATTTTGATTTTTTTTTGGGTTTTCTAGTTCTTTCTTCAACGGCAACAACGTTCGAAGTCTTTTTTGATAGTTTTTGAGTCTCATGCTCTTAATCCTATAGCTTCGCCTCTGTGATTAAAGATTTGTGTCATGGATTCCACAAACATTGATTCTGCTCCTGTTTTTAAAACCTGCACAAGTTTTTGATTCTTGCTGTAGCTCTTAATTGTTCACACTCTGTAAATAGTGCCAGCTATCTCTCACTTGTTGACGCATAAATCGCTGAATACGTTTGCGGAGTCGACTCACAATGTGCAGAATATACTATCGAGGAAATTAGCTATTCAATCCACATTATGGCAAGCGGTTTTTGGTGTTGACTTTCGACAATCTTAAGCAGTAGCGGATTTGGGGGGGGGGGGACGCCCCCCCTGAGGGATTCGACACCCTGCCGACCCAAAGGGTCCCACCTTTGTACTATTCTGAGATATCTATTTTGGTGAGGTACCCTAAAATTTTTCTAAAGTCGCCTTCGGCGCCAATATGTAGTTACTTTTGAAGGGGGAGTGGGCGCCGAAAAAACGCGATTTTTGGCTCAACATTTTCCAAAAAAGTGCCTAAAAACGCCTTTTTTGGCCTGTTTTTTTTAAAAAAAAAACTTGCCTGCGGCTTTGAAAATTTGGTCAAAATGGGAGGGGGGGTATTTATAGTATTTGGGAGAGCTCAAAAAATCAATTGGGTCGACCTAAAAAAAAAGATTGACATTTTTTTTTTGAAAATCTGCCCACCCCTATAGAAAATCCTAGATCCGCCCCTGATCTTAAGGCCTGTCACGGGATTTCGCATACGTAATTGCTGTCACGTTCAGTGATAAGTTTTTAAAGTGATTGCGTTTTACAGAAGTTGAGCTGTCTGTACAGAAAACTTAGGAAGATAAAATTCATTCACGATTTTAATTACTCTCTTTGTTGCATGAAAATCAGACTTAGTTAGTATCTCATCCAAGATTTGTGGGTTATTTTAATGTTTCTTTACCAATGATTCTCAAAATTAATTAAGAAGATCTAGAGGTTTACCGGGATATATCATCTCTCAAAATTGGAGCAGATGGCGTTATTTACTTTTTAGAAAGTCGATATCTAAAATGTAACGGCAATTGTTTCTCTTTCAATTTCAATAATATGTCATTTTTTAACCTAACCGCTGGCTTAAATTTGGAAAAGCAACCTGCTAAGACTTATGACTGGAGGTTTGAAAGTTACAAGTACAAATAGATCCAATAAAAGTAAACGGCCTCTAAAAAAATTACAGAGTTGTTGCTCAACGCTATAGATACATGATGCTGAGTTGCTGAAAATTGGTTGTTTTTGGTTACCCACCTCACTTAAATGAACATTTTTTTTTAGGTCGACCAAATTGATTTTTCGAGCCTTGATTTTTCGAGCTCTCCCAAAGCACTAAAAAGTCCCTGTTTTGGCCAAAAGACTGAAGGACTGGCCTCGATTGGATTTGGAACCCAGCCTTTCAGCTTATTGCTAATATCAGAAAGACCCTCTGATTGAGCCTATGCTCTTTAACGTCTATGCAGTGGACTTTGGTTTGAAAACATTGATCAAAATTTCAACAAAAATATTAGAAAATTTTTCAATTTTTTTCTTTTAACCATTCTCCACACGCTATCCAAAAGACAAAAAGATATAATTCACAAATAGTAAAGTTCTAACTAGACAAAATAGCATGCCTCAATTCTTTTTGTAACAGTTTCTAAGGTGGAATAATCCTCAATTTACGCGTTACAAACTCGATATTTATCGCGTGTTAACTATCCCAATTGTGTGTTAACTGATTGGCCAAATTAGCAATTTTTAGACCATAAAATTGCAAAAAGTATTTACAGTTGAAGTTTTTTTTTAATTTGGGCTCAAGGAAACCAGTTTTTTCGATTGAAAAACAAAACACCCGAGCCGAGCATAAATAATCAGTAATACTCTTTGAAATTCGAAACAAAAAAAAACACTTTCACTTGTGATCAATTTTCGTAAAATTATGGGCAATTGAAAGCTAATTTGGCCAATTTGAAATAGTAAACTGTTTTTTTTCTCCCGTTCTCTAGGCCAATTTCAACTTTTCAACTTACCATTTTGACGCAATTTGCTTATATCATCCAAAAAGGGTTGTTGCCCTGAGCTCATTAAAAAAACTGTTTTACCTGTTATCATTTTTCGTAAATTAATGGCGATGTAAAGATAATTTGGCATAATTAACGCGACTTTTATTTCGTGCTATTAATGCGTAAGCGGTGTTTTACGCGGTCTTAGAAATCGTTTTAAAATGAAGCTAGGCATAATAGTTAATGGTCTGTTTAATACTATGCAATTTGTGAAATTACATCTTTTTGTACTTGAAAAAATATAAGGAAGAATGGTTTTCATTTTTTTTAAAAATGAGAAAACTTTTCAATTTCTGAAAGTTGGATCAATCTTCTCAAACCTAAGAACACTGCATTGACGTCAAAGGGCCAGGGCTGTTAAAATGTTACCTATTTTAATAAATAACAAACTAACGGTTATTTACGATAAAAAACATGTTTTTTTGTTAGAAAATTGTTTTTTTTTCGGAATGATCAAGAACAATTCAATTCCCTGTACAAAAACGCCAGTTTCCCGGCCTTCTCCGGTCCAAGGCTTGTTCTCAATGTCCCGTACGTCATCCCTAGCGTGGAGAATTGCCGTTCGAGGCCGGCACTGGAGGCAATCCCCCCAACGAGGGACTCAGCAATCTCACAAAGCTTGTCAGAGAATCCAATCCTTCTCCCAGTCTTCCACCAAACAGATGAAGTCTTTTCACCATATCTGTGGTCGAGAAGACTGGCAGCCAGAATTTCAGGAGAGAGAGAGCGACTTTTGCACGTTTTGCTACTTTTTCAGCATACTCAGCCGGCGAACCCACACATACTTCGTTCCATATTTGGAAGACACTGCCAACTGTACATGTGTCGCTCTGAAGTTTGTCGAGAGCGATTCCAATGGGTTTAAAAATTTCCAGTAAATCGGTAACTGCTCGTTTCAAGGGAACGTCCTCCATAAATCTGTATATCTGATCTGTGTTCTTCATCGTCGTGTTGATTACCAAAACTATGTTTGACCACTGATCATGAAAATACCTCAATGTGTCTGCGACCGAATTCCAGCGGGTATCGCAAGGCAGGGGTGGTCTTGGCATGTTCAGATTCTTCATTTGAGCGGATTCTTCGTGATGGTTTCGGAGATGCTTGACCACAATGAGCACTTTGCCGATGAGCACTTTCTGGTCCTGGTAAATATCTTTTGCCAATAAATTCATCAAATGGGCTTGACACCCGTAACTGTGCAAAAGCATTTCTGGTGACTTAACCCGTCTTCTTAGCCCACTCATATTGGCGGCATTGTCGGTTACCAAGCAGGTAATTTTGACTTTCCACTCTTTCTCGCATATTTCCACTTGCTCACGAAAGAGCTCTACCAGATAATCGATAATGTGAGGATGGCCAGTGGTGTCAACAGTATTGACTAGAAGCACTTTGGACGAAGTTATGATCGAAACTCCGATAATAGGGTCATTCGATCTTGTGGACCAGCCGTCAAGTACCAGCGTTGCATTGCACCCACTGACAAAATTCGCTACTTTTGATTTTTCCTCTCCGTAAAGCTCGTCCAGGAGCGGGCCGGAAACTTTCTGTCGATTGGGGATTTTTGTACCTGGCCGGAGCATCGTAAAAAGCTTTTCGAACTGTTTGTTCTCGACCTGCAGGAATGCTGTATTTGAGGCTACTATGTAGCGGGTAACCTGTAGCTCGATCTGGTGTTGCATAGATTTGGAAGTTGAAAATGACGGCACCGATAGTTTCGTTTGTTTCATCGAAGACGGCCCAGCTTCATGTTTTTCGGTGCTGTTGGCAGCACATTTGTCCAACGCTTCTGCATCCGATCTGGATTCGATACTAGATCCATCTGGCAGAAGTCACATTTTGCTCGAATCACCCCGTCGATGGTGATTTCCGAAAAATTCTGCCAAACTCCGCTCTTTCTGCGTCCCATCTCGAAATCTGAAATAAGCCAAAATCAGGTATACAGGTATAACGTATAAGCCAAAACAAAAGAACCACTGGAAATAGGTAACAAGTGTTGAATATTTACATAACAAACAGTTATTTATTTGCTTGTTAAATAACATTGCAGCCCTGCAAAGGGCAATCAGAACATTCAGTGCGTCGCCCTGATACGAGCAAGTGTCTCCAAATTGAATTGAGGCCTGTCATTTGGTCTTAATTTTAGAATACTAGATGCTAAATAGACCCTTTTTCTTTTTTCGATTTTATAGTCAATTTTTCAATTAGAAAACATTTTTTGGCCGTTAATTGCAGCCAAGACATTCAGGGCTTCCCTCCTGATTTTCGAGCAGGCTCGGTTTGATCTTATCTTTCTTTTTTCACCATTGAGGGGGGAGTAGATTAACCGAAAATATCCCACAAATAACATCAGCTTCATTTGGGGACTTCCGTCTGCTTTTTAAGATGTCTGAAGAAGCAATTTGAGAAGGTCAGCGCAACTTTATCAGCGCATTAGATTTATTCAGCAGAATGTAATCGAATTAGGCGATGTTCAAAATGCTTTAAAAGGTATTCGGCATCAACGTTTCCTGTTGAGGCGGGAAATTTGCTCGCCTTAATCACTTTTAATATGTCTTTAGGGAGGGAAAATTGTTATACTTAACCAAAAAGGAAGTAATTTATTGTCGATTGAGATCTTCTGATCAAAAAAAGTTCCCTCGTTTGCAGTTGTTCAAATTACATGTTCATACCAGATGGAATTTGACATTGGCCGCATTTTATAACCAAATGGTTGAATGATAATTGTTTTGCGCTGTTTTTCCACCTGCCAGCTTTTGTTATACTAAATGGCGATTTGTCAGCTTTACAATGGCTTTAAAAAGAGATGTGGTTGTGATAATCTAGCGGTGAAATGAACTGAGAATTAAATAGGGCGAAAAGGACAAAAAAGAATTATTTATGAGGTTACGCCCTCGTGGGGACACCCCTTGAAAACGTTATTTTTGGTCCGCAAAACAATATCAATAAAATCTGAAGGAAAAGTTATTTATTAGTCAAATGCAAAAGTCTGAATATTTATATGCTATATCTATTCTTATGTTGATAAATCAGGGAAAAGTAAGCTTGTATCATGCATACTACACCCGGGTCGAGATCCCGCTCAAAAACCGCTCATGATTTGAGCGGTTTGAGCGGTTTTCCAGCAAGATTTGAGCGGTTTGAGCGGTTTGGGCAGTTTTTTTTGGAAAAACCGCTGAAACCGCTCAAATCTTGCTTAAAAAACCGCTCAAAAACCGCTCATTTCTTGCGGTGATTTTTGAACGGTTTTTCAAGCAAGATTTGAGCGGTTTTTGAGCGATCTTCCCGGGTCGAGGTCCCAGACTCAATGTTTCTCTTCTCTGCAAAACTCGAACGAACACGTTCATCCAGGGGCGACAAAAATTATGTCTCTCCAAAAGCTAATTTTCCAAAAAGCGCCCAAAAACAGCATTTTTGACCAGCTCTTCACGTCAACAACCCCACCCCCCCCCCCCCCGCCCCAACTTACCCCCCCCCCCTCCCCCCGCCAACGTATTCCCTCCCCCCAATGTACCCCCTGAACGTATCCAACATCCAACAAACCCCCCCACCAACGTACCCCCCCCCCCCCCCCCCCCCAACGTACCCCCCCTCAACGTACCCCCCAACCCACGACGTAACCCCCTCACGTTTAACCATCCCCCCACGAAACCCCCAACCACGACGTGCCCCCTCTGTCAGTGGAATGAGTATAACGGATAAGGCGTCTGACTTCGAATCAGAAGATTGCGGGTTCGAATCCCTCTGTGGTCGACTTTTTTATTATTAAATCTTGCGCCGTTTTTGAGCGGTTTTTTTAGATAAACCGCTCAAAACCGTTCAAATCTTGCGCGGTTTTTGAGCGTTTTTTTTTTAGATAAACCGTTGAAAAACCGCTCAAACCGCTCATTTTGAAGCAAGATTTTGAGCGTAATTGTCTAAAAAAACCGCTCAAACCGCTCAAATCTTGCTTCAAATTAGGTGAAAAATCTCGACTCGGGCAGCTTAAAGAGTGAAGACTATTTCTACTAACATGTGCAAAATTTGTTTGAACTCGGCCAAATAGTTTGACTTTCATCGTTCGGGCAGCAGTGTTTGTTTTTTTCATTTTTTACGCTTTTTTTTACTGTCTAACTCTTAGTAATTAAGCCACTCCCTTGGGATGCGAGAGAGCAGAAGAATTCTACAGAAATAGCTGTACAGCAAATTCCAGAAAAATAGAGCCTCAACATATAGAAGAGCAATCGGTTGCTCTGCAAGTACCACAGAATAACCGGACCATAATTGACATTTTAGAAATTTTAGAAAAAATTTGTTTTTTTTTTCAAAAAGCATCAATATTCTCCAGTTTTTAATTCAAAAAAGTTTTTTTTTGAGCCAAAAGATTTGTTTTTTTTTAGCAGAAGATGTTAAGTTCATATAACCTCCTTTCTTAGTATGCCTTCAAAACATAGTACGCTCTTAGGTTAAAATTAAATATTTATGAAATGAAGTAAAAATTCAAAAGGACCTTAAATTTGAGACTTGATAGCAAAAAGTTCGGACCAGCTTTTTTTGATGCTGAGAAAATTTTTTCAAACGCTTTTTTTTGAAATCCATTTAACATTTTAGAGCTTTTTGAGGCACCTCAAATTAAGTGGAACCAAAACAGATTTCCTTACCACTATTTATAGAGACGTAATAATAAATTGTCTCCAATCTAGGTTTACCATTATTATAGCCGTCGTGGATGTTCTAATAGAGTTTATCTAATTTGGGACGAAAGAAATAATCATGCTGAATGTTTTTCTGATATTTATATTACTTGCAAAGACTTTTAATGTTTATAAATTTGAATTAATGGCAATTTTTTTAGCCAAATTTAGCTTTTTTTATGATCGAGCTATCTCGTCATTTTTAAGTAGATCAATTAATGGAGGACTTTTTTGGTCAAAAGTTTCAGTTTTTCTTGTGCAAAAATGTTTATTGGTAAAAATATTTGTTTTTTGCTCTTACATCACAAACTGACTCGTTTTTGACTTTTTAATTTGACACTTTGATGATAAATTCAAATTTCATTTGAACAGCTGTGATTGATCAGATGTCAGTGTTAGCGTATGCAAATATTCCATATTGCTGAACTGGATGAGTCTAAGTTTTGTACGCTATGATCAATTGTTTTGACGTTAAGTCTTCGTCTATTTGATGAAAGACTCCTCAGAACTGAAGCTTGCAATTTTGTTATCGATGGGGTAAAGAATACATATTTTCGAATCCGGTATTTGAAGCATTTAAAGGTAATTAACGCTTAGATATTTAAAGCATTGAAACTTTTCTATTAATTGTCTGTCTCTGTATTTATAACTGCTCTTTATAAAGACTTGGTTTTCCACCATAGACATTTCTTTTTGTTATCCAAATTTTGTTTATTTAGAGTGGCAAATTTGAAAAAATTCACAGAAAAAAAGCAGACAAATTGTAACAAGTGCAATCTTCAGCTACTGTGAAAAAGTTTTACCAGGTGTTTTTTTGGATCAAAACTCTCAAAACGTGGTCAAAATCGTTACTCTCTTTCAGATTTTGGAACAACGGAAACCAAGTTGACATGGTCAGACATCGGAAATCAGTACTTCATATGTTCATGTCAAATAGACCTCAAAATCAAAAAATATGAATTGGGAGACGGGGAGAAGGGTTGTTTGGGACCACCATAAAGATCAAAAATATAAACGTGCTGATAATGAGGGCCTAAACTATTCGCGCAGATTGTGTGGACTAAAAAATTCCTCTTCAGACCGTGTCATGGAGAGTTTTGATACAAATAGTGCTTTGAAAAAGATTCACCATCAGCTCTCAATTCATAATCATGTTTCTTAAAACAAAATATGTACAAAAATTCATTCGCTTAAAATTTTTTTAAAGTTGAATTATATTTTTATCCTGTTGTGCGATCTTGTGAAAGACTTTGGTGCTTCTAGTTTGGAACTTTGTTTGAGATTTTTTTCACAAAGTTGTTTACCCTTGCGAAAACCAAGGGTTTTGCAATCGGGTACCAGACTTTTTTCCCTCGTAAACCACTTTGTTCACAGATTTCAGCAATCAGGCAGTACACGAGATGCATGCAGTATGTGCAGCGGTGTACTATGCACAATGCAGCATGCAGTATCTACTATTTGCAGCGATATAATTTAAATTGTGTCTATTACTACCATCGTGTATCCTTATTAGTGTTTTTTCTAATAAATTTGCTGTTCAAAGTTTTTTAATGAAATTTCTTTGATTTTATTTTGAATTTTCGACTTCGTTGTTTTTGGTTCATTTTTGTCGTCTTAGTTTCCACTCAGTTTTTACCAGTCAACTAAACCGCTCATTTGAATTTTTTTTTATAAAGGTTAGAAGGCTAAATAATTTAACTTAAAGTTGTAATTGTATTTTTATACGCCAAAATTTTCTGGTAGAAAACTAAGCATAATATAATTTTTCTGCTAGAAATATACATTTTTTGTGTTTAATTTTAAATTTGTCGGATTTATGGTGTCTTATTCTTTTCTTACTGAAAATGTGTGAAGCTAGTCTTAGTTTTAGTTACTTTTGTATGTTTTATTTTCATAAAACTTCAACTCGAATCGGCTAAATAGCGTATTGTTTTAGTATGTCAAAAAGTTTCGGAAATAAATTTAGAAATTTCGGAAAAACTCATAATTTTCCAGAATTGAAGTTCGAT